CCTGCGCAGCGCGACACCGCAGCCACGGCCACGGCCACGGCCACGGCCGACTGCCGAGCACCTGCGACGTGGCCGGGGTGCCTGAGGAGCGGAACTGCTTGCCTTAGCTGACTTTAAATTTAAGGAGCCACAGGTGGCTAGTGGCTGCCGAATCGCGCAGTGCAGTTTCACGCCCACAAGTAACCCCACGAATGTATATGCTCTCCTGCATCTCAAGCGGTTGAACTGTGTCAGGTACGTATAATGGTAAAAGTTTAAATTCCCTGAGCTCCAGAGAAGCGCAAAGCCTTGCTAGAGTTCCTCCCTGCGGACTCAGGGACACACCGGTCAGCGCTGTGCATGAAACCTGTCTTGGATACGTTTACCGTCGTGTGTAACCCCTCGAGAAGCCTTTTTACAAAACTACTTGTGTTCTTTTAGGGAAAGAAGTGTCCTCGTTCTCAGTTCTGCAAATCCTCATAACCCTCGAGGGATTACTGCCCTCAAGACAGGACAGCTGAGTGAAAATCCCGGTCCTGGACCACGGCTGGCTTGCCGGGGTCTTGCGTTAGCTGTAATCTGCTTTCCCTCATCTGTCGCCCTCCGGACTGCAAACTTGAGTGGAAGGAAGGATGCACCTGAGACCCTCCTGTTACCAAATGTCCCCCATGACACCTCTGTCAGGGTATTCCTGCTGCTGCCCGATATCCAGGTCCAAGACAAATCTTCATTCCAGCAGGAAAAAAAATAAAATAAAAAAGAAAAGCCACAGTGCCTACACCCAAGGAAGAGAGACTGCTCCTTGTTTCCAAACGTCTATGAAACAGTGACAAAACCAGCTATGTCCCCAGTCTTAAAGGGATCTTAATAAATTGTAAATAATCAATGGTACACAAGCCACTTAATCGGACCATAACATAATGCAGTTGGAAACCAGTAAGAAATAATTTTTGGAATGAGTTAAGAACGAAATAACCGTGTGTTATATATGAAACAGCCATGCAGACACACAAAGCAACTAAAGCAGGGTGACGCGGAGCACACCGTGGGCCCCCAGCTGCAGATGCAATGACGCAGTCGAGAGGGTCGTGTCTCAGACACTCACACCCGAACCTGAAAGGCCTCTAAATGGGTGAGTTCTGCGTTCAATTTGAGACGTTCAAAAAACCATGATGGAGCAAACACGGGAAGCAGAAAGCAGGCAAAGGACGGAGGCCAGAGATCACCGAACTAGGAAATGAATCAACGCGGGCTGAGCGACGAAACGAGACCCGTTCTCAGGAACGACTGAGAAGCAGAGTGAGGCTCTGTCAAGGCTGACAAGGAGAAAAGGAAGACACAGTTCTTATCATGAACCAGGCGAGGCTTTGAGGAGCGGGGAGGAGGTCTGAGTAGACTTTCGCTGCTCCAGCTTACCTTCAGAGTCACCGAGTGGGCCCTCAAATCCCCACCCTGGCAGCCTCTGCCTGGGGACAGCTGTAACCTTGGCGCCAAGCGGGAGAGGCACCCAACCACCTTCCTCCCCCGAAGTCACCTCCCTCTCCTCTGGGCGCTGTGTCTAGAGAGAACAGGCCAGGCCTTAGAGAAGAAAGAGCCTTGCTGCTGGTGCAATGAAGTGATAACTGAGCATTTCGACCATTTGGGGGAAACCCGAGAGCCTGGCTCCTCCTCGCCCTGGGTGCCGCTGCAGTGTTGGCTCCCCCCACCTCCACCTAATGCAGTGCATCCTTGTCCCTGGCACAACGGCTTCTGGGTTGCCATGGCAACTTCTGGCTCCAGTCTCTTTCCATCTCAGCCACAGGCAGATTGTTACCAAGCAAATCTCTCTACTTGCTCCAAGCATCCATCAAACAAGAGCCCTGCAGGCGCCAATCGCCGAACAATTCTGGCCCAACCTTAGGGGCTACAGAGAGACCCCAGTCCCAGACACACACTCCTAGCACAGCAGTGGCCTTGGGCTCGAGCTAGAGGGCACAGGCCTTTGGGCCAGAAATGCTCCTAGTGTCCCCAGGGGCATGAAGGAGGAGGAGGAACTACCAGGCAGATAAGTGGGGGCCCCAGGGTTGAGGGGATGTGGCATGTGTATGATCTTTGGAGGTGGGAGAGTGTGTGGAGTATTCTGGAACATCAGTTGTGCAGTCTGGCCAGAGCATGGGGGAAAGGGGGCAACAGGAAACAAGGTGAGTGTGGGTCAGATGTGGGAAGGGGGCCTGCAGGAGACATGGGCTGAGCCCTGTGGACCACAGGAAGTACTAGAGAGATGGGACAGGGCGAGACAGGGCCAGACCTGTGTTCAATGAAACGAAGCAGGTACCTGAACGAGAGTCCGTCAGATGGGACACCAAGGCCCGGGGGACCAGTTAGCATATTCTACTGGTCCAGGGCCTTAATGAACAAAGTATTAATGAGCAGGAAGATAAAGGAAGCACTGGAGAGTCGCAGACTCAGAGGATGCAGTGCCTGGATGGGGACGTCTTGAGTCAGGAGGGGCTGGGAACCTGGAGTGGGGCAGGGGTGGAGAGGCAGGCTAGACGCTGAGCATAAGCACCGGCCGTAACCCACCAAGTGAGTGGCTCTAACAGAGCGGTCCTCTATCCCCAAAAGGAAGCCATGGCCAGCTGTCTTTTCCATCCAGCCAAAATCTGTTGGCCTGAAGCTGAGGTGCTCCATCCACCTGGCCCATGGCCAAGGGCAGTGGTCAGACCCAGAGAATGCAGGCATGGGCAGGTCCACTCCAGACCTCCTTGGGGTCCACCGACATTCCAGAGCCCACGTGGGTGTGAGTGTCTTCAAGGAACAATCATAAAATCCATGCAAACCCACTACTGAATGGGGCTCGCGTGCCTGGGAGCACGGGACAGAAACTCCTGCTGGCGAAGCTGGAAGCTGTTACCTGAGTCTCGGGCCCTTAACAAAGGGAAGGAAGATGGTGGGATGGAACTGTGCCCATCGAGCCTGTCCCCTCACTCAGGCCTCTGGTCCACCTGCACACAGGCACCTGGGTGGGACCTGAGAGCGGGCCCTGTGCCCGCACTGCCTTCAGCTGAGGGACGTCAGTAAACACGGGCCTCTCAAGGCAGAAGGCGGCAGTCATCACCGGGTCTCGTGTGGGGCTGCACTGGGCAGCCGAGCCCTGTGCAACCTGGAGGACAGATGAGTGGCCCTCGGCATTCTCTTCCTGCAGGTGCATCTGCAGCAGAGCTGCCTCCGGCCATGCCCGGGCTAACCCCATGGGGGCCCTGTGATGGTTTATCTCTTTCTGAGCCTCAGGCAGGTCAGAGGAGATCCAGGGGACACTGGATAGAGCATTTCGGCCACTGAAGGAAGACAGCCCATGACTGACGGGTGCCTGCTGTCTGGGCCGCACCTTCTCACAGCCCCAGCCGAACACCACGCCTTGCACACGTTAACAACTTCCCAAAAGGCTGTCTGCAGACTTCCCACCTTCCGTAGGTCTCGTTCATGGCAGCCATTTCCGCTTCTGCCCGTGATCTGATTCCAAAATGCAGGCCAGGATTAGCAGAATTTCGGGCATAGCTCCAAAAACTGCCCCCAGAATACTGCATTTCCTAACTTACGAATTGCAATGACAGGGTTAACAAAGTTGAGCCTGGGAAGGGGGAGGCACAAAGCTAAATTCTCCCCACAAAGCACCCCCAGATTCCTCTGAGGTCAGGATGCCCAAGCACAGTGCCTGCGCCCTGAACTGCTGAGCCCCTGACCCAGTAACCCAGAAAAGCAGAGGGAGCGGGCACGTCCCCCACCTCCACCCCCACCCCCAGCGAAGCGGTGCAGGGGACGCCGAGGCTTAGTGTCCCCACAAAGAGGAAGCCAGAGCAAGAAAGGACAGGTTCCCGAGCCAGGAGCACTGGTCTCTGAGCCTCCACAGCGCATCTGTGAAACGGGCTACTGATGCAAAGCACTGACACGCCCGCTACTGACACGGCTCTGAATTTGCGCATGGGCTCAGGGCTCCTGCGTCACGTGACCTGTCGTTGTCCTCGGACTGCATACCCTGCCCACGATCACGCCACGAGCAGGTCCCAGAGCCCGGGCTCTTTGCCTCATTACTAACTACTAGTCCTGTCACTTTCAAAACTAAGTGTGTTCTTTCCAAAGCTGTGCGTAATTTGAAGGCTAAGCAAATGCAAACTCATTTTACAACCACCACTAGACGTGAAGCTACATGAGTCTTTCCTCTGAGTAACACGTTCAGTTGGATTTATTGTCGATGAGACTTTCTCAGTCCTGCCAGTGAATGAGGCCTCGGGAAGCAGGCACCCCTGGGCCTCATATCTTACCCGACAGCACCAAAAGCATGCGCTGGAGGAAAATTACTCCTCCAGGGAACTTTCCAAAGTTAGCTCCCATTTTTAATTGTCCAGAAGGAAAGTCATCTCAGAATAATTAATCTGGGGGGAGGAGGGTAATGTCACAACTGAATACTAATCCTCAGAGAAATCAACACATACTGCTTTAAAGCAAATCCAGAAATTCACCTCCCTATCTACTAAGGGGATGGTGGGGTGATGCACTTTGTGAGGGGCAAAAAACCTAAATCTGGACTCCTATGCCACAGGAGATCCCGGTATGCCAGACAGTGGATGTCCATGCCATCTTCCCCTCTGCCAATCCTCCAGACAGCCCTCCTCCTCCCCCCTCCCTCCCTCCTCCCCCCTCCGCCTCCCTCCTCCTGCTACCTTCTCCTTCCTCCTCCCTCCTCCCCTCACCTTCTCCTTCCTCCCCTCCGAGGAGCCCATGACCACAGCCACTAGAGCACTAGGCTCAGTTTCTAGCTTGTTCATAAACTCCAAAACCCAAAAGAGCTGAGGGGCTCTTTGTCACATCTTTTCGGAAGCAGGGGTGGGGCAAGATCCCTTCAGGGAGCAAAGATTTTTGTCACCTTTGACATCCGTCCCCTCGTAAGTCCAAGAACCTGGTTCTTCCTCCAGTTGCAGGAGCCAGAGATGCTTTTATGAAGTTTCAGTCACTGTCAGTGACGGTAAAACCGCAGCGTGGCCGGCACCGGGTTCGCCCAGCCCCTTGAGTCCTGGCCCTTCCCCCAGCCCGTGGCCCGCAGCCCCGTCCTACCGACCCACGTCAGTCAGTCCACAATCCCCAGCTCTGACCTGAGCGGCCTTTCTGAGTCTCCCTCTCCTTTCCAGATAAGGGGCCACAGCGTCTTCCCTGCGCAGCAGGGTGGGGCGTCCCCGGGCTGCTGTTCCCAGAGTGGTCTCCCTGGACCACAGCATCAGCATCACCAGAGCTCCTTGGAAATTCAGATTCCCAGAGCCTCAGACTCACCGAGCCAGAGACTAGGGTGGGCCAGGGTCCAGGCTCACCAAGCCCCCTGGTGAAGCAGGTGGATGAGCCCCATCTGCCAACCGATAGAGCCTCCCTGGGAAGCTGAAGCAAGTGACTTCGATGTAGCTGAGAGAGGGCCGAACGGATTAGGGTAGGGGTCGGGGTATCAAAGAGAAGCGCAGGGACCGGAATTGGGGCGCGGGTTGGGGGCGCGCCCGACGTTCTCCCAGCACCTCCCCACGGCCCCCACTCACTGCCGGTAGGGGTCGTGGAACGGCAGCGCCAGCCAGGCGCCGTGCAGCTCGCGCATGAAGGCCAGCATCTCCTGCGCGCTGCCGTCGGCAGACACGAAGACCACCTCGAAGGGCGCGGGTGGCCGTGCCTCGTCCACTAGCTCCGCGTAGAAGTCGCAGAGCAGCGGCGTGAAATCGCGGCTGGGCGCGCAGCGGCCGGCGGCGAAGTACAGCCCCACCACCTTGTTCTGCAGCGCCGCCTCGGCCTCCACCCACGCGCCGTCGCAGGTCACCAGGCGCCGCCCGCCGAGCACGTCCACCATGGCCTGGCGCGGGGACACCTGTCCGGGAG